GATGTTGCCTGCACTGAAGGCATTTGTAATCATGACGAACACGGTAGGTTCAGATTAAGCTTCCCAATTATTTCTGCTACATGGCTGATTTAAGCACATAAATAAGAGATTATTGATTTCTGCAGGTGATGACTCCTGTGTTCATCACTGTGAAGACAAAGAGGATGATGGTGATAGTTGTGTTGAATGTTGGGCAAATTCCGAAGAGAACAACACCAAAGGAAAAAATAAAAAGAAGAAAAAGAAAAGCAAGATGTTGAAATGTGATGAACATGTAAGTGTCATAACTTGCAATTCTGAAGCCTTTGCGGTTGAGGGGAGAACAGCCTCTTTTCCTTGGTGTGGCAAGTGTGCAGCTTAGCTGCTAGGATTTACTGTTATTGTTTTTTTAAGAATGAGTATCTTATGCAGTTCCATTGGTTGCTTATCTTGTGATTTGGGTGGGTGTGTGATGCGGTCATTTGTCCAACAATCCATGAGAGTCATAAATCCAATTCATTCTTTTTATAATACTTTGAAAGCTTGCTTGATCATACTTTTCCATCTTTAAAATGGAGAAAAAGGTCTCTCTCAGATTAAGTTATCTTCTGTAATAATAAAAACGTAATATGCTCATTAGACTGGACAGCTAGGGCTGCGATGGCCGAGCCCCTTGCATGAATTTCGTGCATTGGGCCTCTAGTGTGAAGATAAAATGAGATTATATTGCTGGGTTAGCATAGTGCCCAGTATGCAGTGTTTAATAAATTTCAGCTGCTGCTTTTATTCATTATTCTTTTTAGAAATTTAATACACTTTGGGGGCTTTTTGCTATTAATCACTGCCTTCTTACCTGGGAAATCTTTTTGCTATGGTTTTAGATCCAAAAGCTTGGAAGCTGTATTACAGATCCAGGAAATCGAGAGACCTCAGGAAATACCGTGCACACACTGTTCCACCGTGACAAGACCAAAGATGCACATCCTGAAAGCTGTTGTAGCTCTGAAAAGGGTGGGCAGCCACTGCCTTGGTTTGAGCATAGAAAAAATGTACCACAGTTTGCAGAACCTACAGAAATGTCATTTGGTCCTGATTCCGGAAAAGGTGCCAAGAGCTTAGTTGAACTCCTTGTAAGTAAACCATGATGTCTTATTGTGGATAACTGATTGCCCATGGCTAGATGTGGGAGTGGACAGAATTTTTGAGGGTTTAAAGTTGGAAGTGGGGGAAATTAAGAGCATTATTTCATTATTGTTTTGGTGACTTCATTTTTGTTCTTCCACTCATGGTTTATGCAGCTACTCAGAAGTACATTTCCCTGTTCTCCTTTCTCTCAAAGGTAGAAGAAACTAGTTAGGAGATGAGGGTAGAGTTAGCATCATGTCTAGGAATCTGCCTCCTTCAAGAGGAGGGTTATTGTAAGCAAATTGCCTTTCTGAGTGGCAATTTATATAGTAGCCACCCTTCCAGAGCAGAATCTGAACGACAGCCCATATTTTTAGGTTACTTCCTTTAGGTGTCATGCATGATAAAAGCATAACTGAACATGGAAAACCTTTTATAATTGATTCTAGTTCTTGATACTTGAAATGAGGTATATATACCTGATTCCAAGTGATCTAGTGCATAGCTTGTGTGGGGCTTAGAGGAGGGGGAAGGAAGGAGAAGGGTGGTGTCTTTTCTATAGGATCTTAATGGAACCAAATCCTCTATAGAATACTAGTTTTTTCTTTTTCATAAGGTTATAAAGTTAGATGTTGTTGCTGTGTAACTTAAAGTTAATAAAGGTTATATTTTACTTAATTTGTAGAGATAAAAGTTTCAGCTTAGGATCAACTAGAGATAAGTCTGGTTATTTAAAATTTGGTAACTTAGCTGTAACCATCTCTAATTAGTCATTTCTTTAAGGCAGAAAGAAGATATGTTGGTATCAGCTAGGCTCATTATAGGCTTCTAGGAAAAATGATAGATCCAGAGTTTCAGACCAAATCAAATTGAGTTGAATTTTATTCTCATTTAGTACTTTCTAAGACAGAATAACATTATGCTTATTCTGTGAACATTCCAATTAAAGGTTTTATTTTACTGAATTGAAACTAAAAAGCTAGACTGCTTTTTAATATTTAGCTGTCCTCCATCAGCATAACATTTTGCATTCTTTAATTTAAATCAAAGTCTTAATTATTCCTTTAATTTGCAGGATGAGTCTGAATGTACTTCAGATGAGGAAATCTTTATCTCACAAGATGAAATACAGTCATTTATGGCCAATAACCAGTCTTTCTACAGCAATAGAGAACAATACCGACAGCATCTGAAGGAGAAATTTAATAAATACTGCCGCTTAAATGATCACAAGAGGCCCATTTGTAGTGGCTGGTTGACAACGGCTGGAGCAAATTAAATAAATAAAATAGCTCTGTCTTTCAATGAAACACTCAAGATGACTACTGCGCCTTCTCTTTCAAAAAACCTCTTAATTTAGTGACTTACAGCAAAATTTTATCTTAAATCAATGTGATTCTTTCTTGTTTTGGGAGATGGTGGAGGTAACCTCATTAGTTTGTTCTTTCTTTAGGCTTGTGTCTTTAGTGGCTGCACAGGCCTGCCATATGATTTAAGCCATCTCTTTCATTAAATGTTTCTCTTCCTGTGAGACTTACTAAAGCAACTTAGTGGCAAAAAGTAATGTTGTACTTATACTTCTGTACAGAAATGACAATGAGCTGAATATATGGTTTTACAAAGTAGACATCCACTTGCGAAATGTTTGGATGTACTGTTAAAGCGCAATGTGCAAAATTTAAATAAAGAATATTTATTAATATGCACAGTAAAATTTGGTGTACATGTTTCTGCTTAATGTGTGGCACTATTTTAATATTTGCCACTTGTGGACTTGGTACTTGGCCAATGTTGATGTTAGAGAGGATAAAGAGCAAATGAGGATAGAGACAGATTGTTGACAAAATTCTTACTTTAGAATTGACAGCTGAGAAAAGCAGTTTCCAATCTTTTGTTTTTATATATTTATCTTTTAACACTGGCCAGCATCTAACTTTCTCATAAGACTTAATTGCCATTATTTAAAGTTCCCTTATACATAACACAAAGCAACTTAAATTCAGAGGTTCATATTGAACTAGAAGAATGAAAACAAAATTTGGCAGAATTTCAAGCAAGGATTGCCTGTTTAAGTAATTATTCAGTGGGTAGAATTGGGATCAGAAGGCTGCACTGAGAGCTAACCACATTGCGGTCTTTGTAAGTGCATGTTCTTACGTGGTTTTCAACAATAAAGTTACTATGGCATTACAGTTCACTGCTTTCACAAGCTGTCTGAATGCTGAAGGAGAGATTCCCCTAGGAGTAGCATTTAGCTGCTATTTAAAAAGTTGAGTCAGTAGTTCAATAAACACATGCTTAGAGCTTTGTTGTCTGCATGTTGATAATACTTGGTGGGCAGCATACAGGTGGTGGGACTGTCAGTACCTCTGTGCAATGGGGATGGAGTGAATTTTATGGGCTTTCTACTGCTTAATCAGATTTCTAATCAAATTTCAGTGGGCAACATCAGAAGCCTAATGAGATTTAATTTTTATAGTTGGTGGCATTTCTTTGATCCACCTCTTGAGCTGTCTTTTCAGATCTTAGTGTTGTATAGGGATTGGGGCAGAGGTAAAATGAGTCATGATTTCTCTCTGATCCTGTTGCTTTCATCCTGGAATCCATAAAGATTGACCAAGGGCCTCCCACAGCCCTTGGCTTTGGTCCCAATCCCCTCTCCACCACCTGTTGGCAGTCAAGTTTCCTCTTGAGATCCCTAAAAGCAAGAGCTGGGTTTGTGTTAATTTTTGCCCTGCTGGCCAAATACATGAGTGCTTGTTGAATGAATAAGCTAGCCACATGCTTATTCCATTGCTTGCATTAGAGGGATTCCAGTAGTTAGATGGATACATTTTTTCTTTGGAAGGATGGCTATATTAAGGATGCAGAAATGGCCCTAGCTGGTTTGGGCGTCAGCCTTCGGAGTGAAGGGTCCCAGGTTCGATTCTGGTTTAAGGGTACATACCTGGGTTGTGGGCTTGATCCCCAGTGAGGGGCGTGCAGGAGGCAGCCAGTCAATGGTTCTCTCTCAGCATTAATGTTTCTCTCCCTCTCTGAAATCAAATATATATATTTAAAGAATGCAGAAGTGACGCAGCTTTCAGTGCTTTGATGAAATATATCCTAAGTAGCAAAACCAACAACCCAGGAAGAGACAAAAGGGAGAATGGAGTGAAGGCACTTTAGGAGCACATCCTCTGTGGTCCAAACCATGCTTTACCCCTTTCTGTCTTAACTAAGTTTAGTTATCTCAAAAATGAAAGTATTAGTAAGTACTATCTCATAGGGCTGTTCTGCATATTAATATATTTAAAATGCTTAAAAGTGCATGTCACACCGTAAATGCCCAATAAAAGTTAGCTATTGGTTTCATCTATATATTTGCTGCAATGAGAGTGAGAAGGTCTAGGGCAGTTGGAAGTAGTCCATTGGGACAGAATCCCCCAGTGCACATGTACTTGGAGGTGGTTCCACTTTTAACCATCACTTCTTGGTTAGTAGGATTGAGAGTCCCTCCCAAGGTCACCCATCAGCCACCGGCTGGTTTAGAAGGGCGTTGGAGTCACCTTAAGTGCCCTTAATTTCTCTTCCTGGCCTTGGGTCAGGAACAGGAAGGGCTACTGAGCATGCGGCGAGGGTACGTACGTGCATCCTCGGGCCTGGAGCAAACTCCTGCTACACGTCGGTTTCCCTGCCCCAAGGGTAGAGCTCACCTGGGAAGCCGGACCACATGACCCCGGGACCCTCCAGCGCAGGCCCTCACCGATAGAACGGACAGTTCCCTGCGCCGGGGGCGAGGCGGGACCGGAAGGGGCGGGGCCATGTCCGGGCGGCGCGGGGGGCGGGACGGCCGGGCTGCTACGCCCTCCGGCGGGATGTGGCCGACAGTCGAGGAAAGGAGGGTGGAGTCCCGGCCGCAGGCCGGCCAGGTTGGAGGCGGTTCCAGGCGCGGACTCGAGGCGGGCCGGGCGGCGGCGGCTGCCGTGGCGGTAGGGGAACGGCCGAGCCCCTGCGACCTGGGGCCCAGCTCCGCCGTCCAGGCGCCCAGCTCGCGCAGTGAGATGGCCCGGGGCGGCATGGAGCGGTGGCGCGACCGGCTCGCACTCGTGACGGGCGCCTCGGGGGGCATCGGCGCGGCCGTGGCCCGGGCCCTGGTCCAGCAGGGGCTGAAGGTGGTGGGTTGTGCTCGCACCGTAGGCAACATAGAGGTAAGGCCTGGCTGGGGAGCGGGGTGCCCTGGGAGGCGTCGTTTTCGCCGGGGTCGGGTCCTGGTGGGGGAGGGGGAGTGGCCGGAGTCGGGCTGGGACGCTATCCTCACTTGCCTGCCACCCCCGGGCCATTTGCCACGGGTTTAGGGACAAGGTGATGCCTAGTAGGGCAGGCCTCTGAAATGCCCTCTTTTAAGGAGCCGTTTCAGGAACAGTCCCTACCCCATTGTACCAAGTCTCTGGCATCTTTCTCCCTCCTACCTGCCTGCTCGGGTAGGCTCAGGAAAGGGGAACCAGAGATCCCCGGCTGGCGAGGCAGCCAGGGAGAAGGAAAGAAAGCTTTCTGGACTCAGTGGCTACGTTGGCTACTGGATTGCTTTCTCTGGTCCCCAGACTCAGCCCACAGAGCCAAGGAAAGTGGCTGGTCAGCCAGATGAGCAGAAGCTAGAGGTTATGTTGGTGATCGTTTTTGTTTTTTTAACCCGGGTCTGAGGTTGGGGTTGAGGTGGGAGTGGTTTTTCTGAAAACAAACAAAAACAAACGGGCTAGTCCCCCCTCCACCCCCAAACCTGAGGGTTAACCCCCTACCCAGTGGGCATAAAGGAATGACAGTGGGGTGTTCATAGATAGACCCTTCTCCAATTTGACTGTCCTAGGTGGGACTGAGGAGGTGAAATAGGCATTGAACATGCGAGCCCTGAGGAGGACAAAGCACTAGAAATGGAACTCGGGCTTCCTCTTAAAGTGGGGTTGGGAGCAGAGCTGTGAGCAGCAGGAGACCAATGAAACGAAGTTGGCCATGTTGGAGCATGGGGGAAGAAGAGGAGAAATTTCCATCATGTTCCCTGGATTTGCCCAGCAAGATCACTCTCAGGGGTCACGCTAGTGCTTAGCTGCAGGGCATAATCTCCACCATTGCTCAGCGTCCCTGTGCAGGGCAAGGGTAAGGAAGCCTTGGGTGGGGGCAGAGGGAGAGGGTATACAGGAAGGAGGGCTGTCCCCTCCCCTGCTGCTGCCCAAAGGTATATTTTATAGCCTCCTAGATAGTCCCAAGGTCACCTGGTTACACCATTGCCCTACTCTGCCCCTCCCTTTCTCCTGGAGCTCAGGAGCCTTGGAACCTAGAGGGTTAGACCAGGGATAAGACCAGTGGATTCCCTAAGTCTAAAGCCACCCTTGTCTTCTCTTCCTACTGCCCTGCCCTAAACTAGCCAGGAAAGGGAGTCCCTGAGCCCCAAGGGAATCTCCAAGCAGATCACTTAGCCCCAGGAGGACCGGTGGGGCAATGAAAGGGCAGGGACAGGGAGAAATATATTCCCAGTCCCTCTAGTCTGGCTTTCCTGGGGGGGGCTCTGAGTCTGGAGGAGGAAGGGACAAGTTGCCTGCCAGGTGGGGAGAATTCTAGGTTACCTTGCCCACAATCTGCTTTTATTGATGGGTTGATTGATAGTGAAACAGAGTGTGAGCTCTGGCCTCCTAGAGAGAGAAACCCTGTTTCCTGAGGTGGTCGTGAGTAGGTAAGATTGGGTGAAGGGCTTCTGAGTCCCAGACGACTATACCTTTTAAACTTGGAATGTTAAAGCAGAAAAGAATTTCCTAGGTCATTTGATCCAGCCATTTATTCCCAGCTTGGTTTGCGGGGAGGGAGGCTGTGGGCCAAGGCAGCTGGCTAAGCTGGCTTTCCTCTAGGGCACCCCGTACCCTCTAGTCTGCTCCCTCCCACACATGTACATAGTCACCTTCCCACATGTACATAGTCACCTTCACGAGACTCAGGTGCCCAGTCACTGGCCTCAAGGCCACGGGGCTTGTTTCTCCCTGTTTCTGAATGTCAGCTTTCCTCACAGGGATCTCAGTGGCTCTGCTTTCTCAGGTCTTCCCCTTCCTCAGGGCTCTTCAGAGTGCTGAGGGCCCTGGCAGTACACAGGGGGTGCCAATGTCACTTGTCACCTGACTTGCCTCAGAGTTTCCAGAGAAACTTTGGGGTGGAGGGTGGTGCACCATGGGACAGAGAGAATTTGTCCTAACTTCCTGACCCTTCCTATATGTAGGGCGAAGGAAGATTGGCAAACGGGCTCGATCGAAAAAATACGTGTGCCATTTGTGGAGGGAGGGTGATAGTTCAGATATAAGCCCTCTTGGATGAGGTGATGGGGGAGAAGAGATGGAAGCCCTGGCATAACCAGCTCAGTGGCTCGTGGAACCGGTGGAAGTATGGGGTGGGGTGAGAGGTGCATCTTATGTAGGAGCAGAGAAGGTGTTCTATTGAGGGAGAGGAAGAAGAGAAAAACCATTCCATTCCCAGTCCCTGGCCCCTTTCTTAGAATTGAAGACTCCAGTTTATCCGTGAGGTTACTCTATTGATAATCTCAACTTTCCCCTCCCTCACTCAGGGAGCACTCATCCCCTGGACTTTGACCAAAGAAGACAAGCTTAGGGGATGGGCAGTCCCAACATCAGTGTGACCAAAAGGTGGCCACCAAAGGAGAGAGTTCTATAAGCGGTGACAGCAGAGGGAGGTTGTCTCTGGCAGGGGAGGTGTGGGAGTGAGCAGCTCACTCCAGTTAGATCCCTGTTGGGTTTCATAGGAGCTGGCTGCCGAATGTAAGAGTGCAGGCTACCCCGGGACTTTGATCCCCTACAGATGTGACCTGTCAAATGAAGAGGACATCCTCTCTATGTTCTCGGCTATCCGCTCTCAGCACAGCGGTGTGGACATCTGCATCAACAATGCTGGCTTGGCCCGGCCTGACACCCTGCTCTCAGGCAGCACCAGCGGTTGGAAGGACATGTTCAATGTAAGGGCTGCAGACCTGGAGAGGGGGGCTGGGAGGACGGTGGGGAGCCCAGAGGTGGTGAGCCAGAGCACTGCTCCGGATGGGACAATAGCAAGAGGGAGCTTTGGGTTCCTTCCTGGGGCACCTTGACTGTTACCTTTCTTCTTTTCCTACCAGAGGGATAGTGAGTGGATGAATGGCCATGTCTTTTCCATTCTTCTTTCCTTTGAGGCCCTGGGCATAGTTCTTAAAGTCTAGGCTGATTTCTTCTATTGGAAGAAAGCTCAGTAGGGGAGAGAGCTGGTGTTTACTGAATGTCCCCATATGTCAGCACTATGGGTGCTTGGGAACATGGTCTTATGGGAAGGAAAGGAGCAAAGAGACAGGAGACAATGTTCTTAACCAGCCCTGCCAGCAACTATGTGGCTTCAGGCAGGTAGTTACCCTTTCTGAGCTTCAGTCTTGTCACATTTAATTGGGATGAACATACTTATACCATCAATATCTGGGGTCACTAACTCTAATGTCCCCTGTGGCCAGGTAGGTAATAAGAGAGTGAGGCAGGTCAGGTGGGGTCTGCAGTAAGTGAGAAAGCACAAGGCCATGTATAGGGGCAACCACTGCTAGTGTCCAGTGTCACTGCTGTGGGGCAATGTGGCCCAGTGTGGCCAAATCTTATGAGAGGAATGGGGAGCCTGGGTTTTTATGTGACACTCCATCCATCCCATTCACTGAAATCTCAATTCCACGAGGGCAAGGATTTTTGTGTGTTTTATTCTCTTACAGCCTCAGCCTGGAAACAATAGATATTTTTTGAATGAATGAAACCTTCTAATACATGTTGGAAATGAATTTAAAATGCTTTAAAACTACGTGTGGCCCAAACACAGCCTGTAGGACATGGGTTTTCAACTTCTGGACTATATTATGGGGCAATATTAGGTATGAAATTATTCTGAGAAGTTGAAAGCAGTGTGTAAATGCAATGTGTCTTTCCCCTCACAATTCTTTAAAAAAAAAAATATATATATATATATATATTGATTTCAGAGAGAGGAAGGGAGAAGGAGAGAGAGATAGAAACATCAATGATGAGAGAGAATCATTGACTGGCTGCTTCCTGCATGCCCCCCGCTGGGGATCGAGCCCACAACCTGGGCATGTGCCTTGACCAGGAATCGAACTGTGACCTGGTTTATGGGTCGATGTTCAACCACTGAGCCACAGCAGCCGGGCCCCACACAATTCTTTTCATATCTGCTCACAGAAGCTTTAGCACCTAACAGGTGTTTGGGCCAGGAAATGAACAGTGACCACAGAGCCTTCTGGGAGATCTGAGTTGTGGCCCTCACCTGCAGTAGGTGGGTCTCTCAACCTGGATCTCAACTTGCCCGTCTATAAAGTGAGGGACTTACGTTAAATCCCTAAGGCCCCTCTATAACATTATGTAATTCTATTAGGGTCATCCTATGAGACATCTTCTCCACTCCCATCCCTAACTCCCAGACCTAGGAGATTCACTTCCCTGACATGCAGGGATCTGTTTCTCCTACTCCTTCTGCCCTCAGGAGCTGAGTTCTCTGCCCCACAAACCCACACTGCTAAGAGGACCAGAAACAGGGCTGAGAGCCTCCTGTGTCCTTCTGCTGTGAATGCTGTGGCAGGTTCACGCCCAGGGTGTTCTGTCCTGATGCCTGGCTCTGACACCTGATAAGGACAAACATCTAATTTCCCGGCTGGTCCCGTCTCTTCTGGAGAGGCGAGACATGAGGACCTGCTGAAAGCTTTATCTCTGCTTGTCCTCCTGGGTAAAGCTAGGGGTGGGGCTGGGCCGGAGCTTTAGAACAGAGACACTTCTTCAGGCCTCTGTTCCATGAAGGGTGGTGGGGATTTGGTGTCACCTCTGCCAGAGCGAGGAGGAGAGGGCAGAAGGCAGGAAGCCCCTTGGGAGGTCCCCTGCCTTCCACGACAAGTTACCCACCCTCTTAAGAGTCTCTGTGCCTAGTTCTGTAGATGGAACAGAGGTTAAAGGAAGGAGGATCAGACCTTTTCTACTAGTGATCTCAAGGGAGGGGACAGGAAAGGAGCAGAGAATAGCTGGGTAAGGTGGGGAGAGGCCATGGTGTGTTTGAGGAGAGAGATTTTTAAACCCATTTTAGGAAGGATTTGAGGCTGTTTAGGAGAGAGCAGGATCAGGGGCACTGTCCCAGAGAAGAGGGTATTTGGAGAAGAAAAGGAGATGGTTCCCTGAGGCAGAGATTCTACTATTTGGAGAGGAGACAGCCAAGATACAGAGGGTTCCTGGGTTGTGTATGGGATTTGGGGGGTTTCTATTCCTGTTCACAGGAACTTGAGGGTCACCCAGGGAGAGAAGCTGTCTCTGTTGTCAGCGGGGGCTGGCAGCTTTAGGGGGAGGGGCACCGCTAAGGCACAGTGCCCTGGGTCTGTTGTTGGTCTTTGGTAGGACCTAGGCACTGTTTTGGAATGCTTCCTGGGGGTTCTCTGTGGCTCCATCACCTGCTCAGATGGGCCCAAGCTAGAGACATCCCATTGCCCTCCCTGGCCTGCAGGTGAATGTGTTGGCCCTCAGCATCTGCACGCGGGAAGCCTACCAGTCCATGAAGGAGCGGAATGTGGATGATGGGCACATCATTAACATCAACAGGTGAGACAGGTGGCCGAGGGCTAGAGCGCAGATCACCACTCACCCTCCTAGCTGGGTGATCTGTTGCAGCTTATTTGACCTCTTTGGACCTGTTTCTTTGGTAAAGTAGGGATTTAATACTCAGTTAACACCCAATGGCATGATTATGGTGAGGGGAAGAATAGTGTATGTCAAGTGCCAGCCCCTAGTTGGCTGGAATGGGTGGCTCAGCCCTTGTCTTTGCAGTGGAAGCCTAGGGGCTCTGCTGGCACGGAGATTCTCCATTCCTCAGGCCCTGGAATGAACCCCACCTTGTGGTACAAAGAAAGACTACACAGTATCATTGGGGAGCCCCCACTCTGAGTGGGGAGACATGGCCTCTGCCCTCAGAGATCTCCCAATAGAACCATATCAGTGAATGTGCAGGTGAAATTAAGAGATTTTTGACAGCCTGCGTGACCAAGAGAGGGGATTCTGTGGTCACTGTAGGGAAGACGTCTAGAAGAGTAGGGTTTTCAGGAGCAGCTTGAATAACAGCTAGATTAGTGGGCCGCAAGGATGGCCTCCAGAGGTCCCCTTTAGAAGGCTTCCCTGCAGCATCGAGGTGGTGGGGTTGACTGGTACAGCAGGGGGCACTGCTGGTCTCGGGAGCATCACTGTCTTCTTTCCCCTTCCCTCCCTCTACCCAGCATGTCTGGCCACCGAGTGGTACCCCAGTCTGTGGCCCATTTCTATAGTGCTACCAAGTATGCCGTCACTGCACTGACAGAGGGACTGAGGCAAGAGCTTCGGGAGGCCCAGACCCACATCCGAGCCACGGTGAGGGTGTGGCCTGGCCCTGGTGGGGATGGGATAGGCACAGGCCCTCTCCACCCCCACACATGCTGCCCAGGGAGCCCATGTCCAGGGTGTGCTGCTTTAGAACCCCTGCGAGCATATTGGGCACAGAGCTCCTGGGCTCTGCTGCTACTTGCATGGCCCTGCTCAGTACTTGAGTGTCCCGTTTCACTGACTTTGAGGTAGGAGGGGGCTGGCCTGACTGGAACATGGCGGGTGAGACTGAGGGAAAGCAAGGGATTGTGGGAAACCAGGTGCACAGTGGCAGGAAACCAGGACTCTGGGCTCTGCCCTTGAAGGCAGAATGACCTTGGGCAACTTACTCAACCTCTCCAAGCCTCAGTCTTTGCATTTGTAAAACTGAGATGATAATCAGGTTATGAGGTTTTTTAAGAGAGAACATTTTGTCAAACATTTACCTGGCTTTTAGTAAGGGCTCTGTAAGTGGTAGATATCATTGTGATCATCACCAGTGGCAGCCTTGGAGCCAGGAGGCAGCTGCTAACATGGGACAGCCAACCTTGTGAAGCTGGGGCCCTGTGGCTTCCGTCCTTTTCTCTCCAACCTCCTCAAAGCCTGGCCTCTGATTGGGGTTGGGGTTGGGCAAAGCTCAGTTCCTGAGCAGGCCCTCTCTGTCGGCCCAGTGCATCTCTCCAGGATTGGTGGAGACACAATTCGCCTTCAAACTTCATGACAAGGACCCTGAGAAGGCAGCTGCCACCTATGAACACATAAAGGTGGGGCCTCCCTCATTCTAAGTGAAGGCAGAGGGAAGGGAACCTGTCCTTCTAGCCAGGCCGTTACTCCTCCTAGAGGGTTGGGGTGGGAATGTGGATGCTGGAGAGGACCTCAGTGGTGGGAGGGAACTTGGATCCATTCTGTCCTCATCTTAATCCCCCTTTTCCCTGGTGCTCAGTGTCTGAAACCTGAAGATGTGGCCCAGGCTATCATCTATGTCCTCAGCACCCCCCCACATGTCCAGGTAAGTCTGGCATTGGCTGTCCACCCCATGGAGAAGCCCAACCATCCCCAGAGGAGGAGAGCAGAGAGGCCTTAAAGAGGGTGGCAGTTTCCTGACTGCCTCAAGCCTTTGTCCCTTCTGCAGATCGGAGACATCCAGATGAGGCCCACGGAGCAGGTGACCTAGCTTCCTGTGGGGAGCGCCTCCTCCTCTCTTCACGGATCTTCACGGCTTGGTGCTGGCCTTTGGGTTGTAGGTGTTAATTTCTGGACTCCTGTACTCCACTTCCTCTCTCCACCCCTCCCAGGGGTTTGAAAATGTTTGAGGTCTTTTCTATCTAGTCCAATTGTTTCCACCACAAATGTGAAAAGTGGGCTGGAGAGAGGAGGTGGTGTCCCTAATTACTTTACCTGTTAACTCACTCTTGGTCCCCTTCTTGGGCTCCTTGACCTTTGTTTGTTGTCCTTGGTCTCTTCCCTTTGACTTGGGGAAGGACCTTGGCCAGAAGGGTGGCTTTCCCCTATCTTCTTACACTCCACCCCCTGTTGCTCAGGGATGAGGTGGCAGGGGGAACTCCTCATCTTTTATCTGAGTGGTTATGGAGGGCTCCAGCTTCCTCCTCTCCCTGCCCCAATGCCCCCTCCATCCCTTTTCTCCTCCCCCTTCCCGCACCTAGTTCTTCAGTCCAGTGGGGGTCATCACTCTACTCTGATTGGCAGCACAATACCAGGGCCTACCTCCCAAGTGGATTACAGTGTAATAATTAAAAAAGAAAAATTGCAACAACCGACCTTGGCTTTGTGAGTGTCTTTCAGTTCTTCCGCTTTCTTTGTGATCTGGGGTGGTGGTTTCTCAGAATTTCTTCCAGGTGAGTGGAAAGTGGGTGAATTTAGAGCCTCACTTCTGGAGTGTGGATTACCTTAGGGTAACAGGTGTGGTTTGGGGTTGGGTCTTGAAAATTGGTAGAATTTGCCAGCCAGAAAAGAAGACAAGATGTGCAAGGCTCAGAGGCCAGAAAGAGCATGCAGTGCTGTGGGAACAGCACAGAACTTAGTGCAGGAGTGAGATGGGGCTGAAAAGCCTGGATCCCCGGAGGTCTGAGTGCTGAGCAAGGAGTCTGGCCATTAGGGCATCAGCTGGCTTGTCAGCAGGTGCGGGACAGGCACCGAGCAGTGGCTTAGAGAATCAGCTGCCACAGGGTAGGAAGTGACTGCTGAGTCCTGCTAACTGGTGCTCCGGGTTTGAAAAGGCAGTAGAAACGCAGAGGAGGAGCTGGATGCAGGAGAAACTTCTGAGGAAAAGCACCAGTATCCAATGGGAAGGGAAGCACCACGACTGACCTAGTTGAACACATCTCTGTAAAGTGTTTTTTTGCTGGTGCTTGGGTGAATGCGACCCTCCAGCTTCCTGGAACCTCAAAGGGCGCAGAATGAAGCCAGTAGCAGGGTCAGCTCAGCGCTGATCACTGCCGGCTGCCGTGCGGTGGGTCGCTGCTCAGCCAGCCCTGCAGGCGGCGCTGGAGGGACGGCCTAGTGGGTGAGCATGCGCAATGCGTCCGGGCAGGAAGCGGGCTCGCGCGAACTCGGAAGCGGAGCGCCCCGCGCGAGGTCGGGAGGGGGGCGGTCGCGGCCCGGCTACCTGCCTCAGGCAGTCTTCCCGCCGGGAGTCTGGACTGTCCGTTTCTCTGTCTGAGGAGGCGGGATGGGTGCCACAGGCTCCGTCTGGAGCGACAGCTCTTGAGGGCGTAGCTAAGGGCATCGACCATGGCGCTGCTGCGGGCCCTCAGGGGCGCGACCTGGCGTTTTCCCGGCCAGCTTGCGCGTCAGTCCTCCCGCACGGCGCGGCGGGGGGAGCGGCCCGGAGGAGAGGAGCTGAGCCGCCTGCTCCGGGATGACCTGGCGCCTGCCCCGCGCTCCCCCGGCGGCCGGGAACTCCTGTTCGGCCTGTCCCCGTGCCTCCTGGCTCTGCGGGCCGCCCGCCGCCGCGTGGCCCGGCTCCTGCTCCAGGCCGGCAGGTCGGGGGTGCGGGGAGAGCGGGCAGAGCTGCTCCGGGCGGCGGAAGCGCGGGACATTCCGGTTCTGTGGCCCCGACGGCAGAAGCTGGACGCCCTGTGCCGCCACCAGGTGCACCAGGGCGTCTGCATGGAGGTGAGCCCGCTGCGGCCCCGGCCCTGGACGGAGGCCGGGGAGGCGAGGCCAGGAGATGACCCCCAGCAGCTGTGGCTCGTCCTCGAGAGGCTCCAGGATCCGCGGAATCTCGGGGCCGTGCTGCGCTCCGCTCACTTCCTCGGAGTGGACCAGGTCATCACCAGCCGCAGAAACAGGCACGGACATTATTCCCCGTGTGTCCCAATTTCAAGGGGCAGCCGAGTTCCTCCGCACCTTGACCCTTTGGGGATCCCCTAGGCCGGTCTCTCTACGCCAGAATTTTCATCTCTAACCCTTGGGGGCCGGGGGAGGGGAGCGGAGGGGAGGGCGCCGGGCTTGAGGTGACGCAGCCTCACACGGGGCATGGGGTCACTTTGCAGCTGCCCGCTCACTCCGGTAGTCAGCAAGGCCAGCGCGGGGGCTATGGAGGTGATGGACATATTCTTCACCGATGACCTGGGCGGATTTTTACAGGTGAGGGCCGAGGGGTTGGGGTGGCGGGAAGGAGCAGAAATGAGCCACGATCAGCCTCTCAGGCCACTTCACCGGGAACTGGTGGAGGAAGGGGGAGAAGAGAGCACGTTGGCATTTCCTGTGCTTCTCTAAATCCCTTCGGGAAGAGGGAAGGATCCCAGGGTTTTTAAAACCACGAGGGGAACAGAGTCTGAAGTTGGAGACGTCCTAGCCTCATTCCCTTTGCTGCACTTCTCCAGGCATACCTTTTTGCCCGGCTGCAGGTCTGCCACGGGGCCTCCGTACCTGCTAAGTAGGTCTTCAGTAAATGTGTTCCGAGCATAGCTTGCAAGGCTCTTTAAAAAAAAAATCTTTATTGAAAGTATTACATATGTCCTCTTTCTCCCCCCACCCCCCACTGACTCCTTCTAGCCTGCTTGAAAGGCTCTGTAATAAGGACTAGTCTATGCCTTTCCTCTCTTCCCTTTCACACACACAAAACAACCCCCACTACCACACAAAAAACCCCACAAAATTTGGGGAGCAAACTTAAGTAAAGAACCCCCCTGCTGTTCTCTTGCTGGACACAAGGGGGCAGTATTGCCTTGCACTTGGCCGTTCCACTG